GTAGCATAGAGGATCTGTTAACCAAAATTTGATATCTTGATTATAACTTGTTCAAATGGCTTTTTAGAAAATGTTCAAATGATTTTTAGAATATTTTAATTACTTTTGCAATGCAGTACTCGCCACTTATGGGTTTTCGAGGTCATTTCTTGGTGCTTGTGTATTATTCTGGATATGCTTAAATAGTTAGGCACATTATTAAATTTTAGTTCAAGAGAGAAAACGTATTTTTGGCCAAAAATCCTATAAGGCTTTAGACTTACAATTTCGTCATTTCGGCCAAAAAATGGATTTTGTTAAAAATTTCAGTATAGGTACTCCTGAATGTGCTGCTTAAGGATCTGTTAACCAAAATTTGATATCTTGATTATAACTTGTTCAAATGGCTTTTAGAAAATGTTCAAATGATTTTAGAATATTTTAATTACTTTTGCAATGCTAATTACTCGCCACTTATGGGTTTTCGAGGTCATTTCTTGGTGCTTGTGTATTATTCTGGATGTACTTAAATAGTTACGCACATTAAATTTTAGTTCAGAGAGAAAACGTATTTTTGGTCAAAATCCTTTAAGGCTATAGACTTACAATTTTCTTCATTTCGGCAAATGGATTTTTGTTCAAAATTTCAGTATAGGTACTCCTGAATGTGCTGCTTGGGATCTGTTAGCAAATTTGATATCTTGATTATAACTTGTTCAAATGGCTTTTAGAAAATGTTCAAATGATTTTAGAATATTTAATTACTTTGCAATGCTAATTACTCGCCACTTATGGGTTTTCGAGGTCATTTCTTGGTGTATTATTATTATTCTGGATGTACTTAAATAGTTAGGCACATTAAATTTTTAGTTCAGAAAACGCGTATTTTTGGCCAAAAATCGCTAAGGCTATAGACTTACAATTTTCTTCATTTCGGCCAAAAAATGGATTTTGTTCAAAATTTCAGTATGGGTACTCCTGAATGTGCTGCTTAAGGATCTGTTAACCAAAATTTGATATCTTGATTATAACTTGTTCAAATGGCTTTTAGAAAATGTTCAAATGATTTTTAGAATATTTTAATTACTTTTGCAATGCTAATTACTCGCCACTTATGGGTTTTCGAGGTCATTTCTTGGTGCTTGTGTATTATTCTGGATGTACTTAAATAGTTAGGCACATTAAATTTTAGTTCAGAGAGAAAACGTATTTTTGGCCAAAAATCCTTTAAGGCTTTAGACTTACAATTTTGCATCTGGCTGAAATAAAAAATTGATTTTGTTTCAATACTGTTATAAGGCACTCTGAATGTGCTGCTTAGGGGATCTATTAGCAAAATTTGATACATGTAGGTTATAGCGTTCAAATGGCTTTTAGAAAATGTTCAAATGATTTTAGAAATATTTTATTACTTTGCAAATGCTAATTACTCGCCATGGTTTTCTAAAGTATTTCTTGGTGCTTGTATTACTCCGGATGTACCAAAATAGTTAGGCACATTAAATTTTAGTTCAGAGAAAACATTTTTCCAAAAATTTTAAGGCTATACCGACTTACAATTTTATACCATTTCACCAAAAAAATGGATTTTATTCAAAATTTCAGTATAAATTACTCCTGAATAACTTAGGATACTATTAAAATTTGCATATCTTGATTAATAACTTGTTCAATGGCTTTAGAAAATGTTCCAAATGTTTTAGAAATATTTTGAAATTACTATTACTTTCATACATGGTTTAAGGTCATTTCTTTGAATTTATTATTCTGGATATTGCTTAATAGTTGCACATTAAAATTTTATTCAGAAAGAAAACATTTTCCGGCAAAATCAGCTATAGACTTACAATTTTTATCCATTTTCAGCCAAAAAAATATTTTCGTTCAAATTCCAGTATAGGTACTCTGAATGTACTGTAAGGATCTATTAACAAAATTTGATATCTTGATTATAACATTCAAAATAGAAACGAAAATGTTCAATGATTTTTAGAATATTTAATTCTTTTAATGCTAATTACTCACTTCGCCATAGGTTTCAAGGTTTCTTGGTGCTTATGTATTATTCTTGATCTTAAATAGTTGGCACAACAAATTTTACGGACAAAGCATTTTGGCCAAAAAAATTTTAAGAATATAGACACATTTTTGTCATTTCAATGCAAAATGATTTTGTTACAAAATTTCAATTATAGGCACTCCACAATATATTAACCGGATCTATTAAAACAAAATTTGATATCTTGATTATAACATAACAAATAGCACTAGAAAATCAAATATTTTAGAATATTTAATTACTTCTGCAATACAATTACTCTCCACTTATGGGTTTCAGGTCATTTCTTGGTGCTTGTGCTATTCTATGTACTTAAAAAGAGCACAATAAATTTTGATTCAGAGGAAAAACGTATTTCAGCCAAAAAATCTGAGCTATAAACAATTGCATTTCTTAAAAAAGGAGATTTTGTCAAAATTTCAGTATAGGTACTCTGAATATTAACAACAGATCATTAACCAAAATTTGATATCTGATTAAAACATTTCAATGGCTTTAAAAATGTTCAAATATTTTTAGAATATTTTAATTACTTTGCAATGCCAATTCCTGAATGTGCTACAGGATGGTTA